CAACAGGTTTAGACGGATTCAACACATGACTCGCAATCACTGTGAAGGTCCATGGCATCCGACTCCTCGACGTAATCTAAATCGATGATGGGAACTTCGTCATGGTCGGGGGCAATGGGTCCATGCAATGGGGCCGCCACATTAATATCTTGGGCGCCATTCTACGGATTTTGCTGTGCGACATCACCAATTTGGTTGTCTGGAACTTCTTCTTCACCCACCAGGACGATCTCCACATCAATATCCTCATCGGTGTCGTCAAATGTCAGAGGTTTGGCGTGGACGGCACCGGCTATACCTGTCAGGTCTACCTCAGTAGTCGCGCGCTCACCCCATAGTTCCATGCATTCCATGTACCAATGAAAGCCGAAGATTCGGAAGTAACACTCGTAGTCAGTCTTCTTTAACATTTACGGCAAAAAAAAAAATGGAGAACAAAGTGTGATCAATTTCTTACTAACACGTATACCAAAAACCATGCACCATATAAACTAGTGTCCATGCAACATCTATATAGACACAATACATATGATAAATAATTTATGGAAACGAGAAGATCCCTCCAATAAAAATTAAATAGAATTTCAAAGAGGTATACCAACTTTGAAAAATGACATATCAACACACAGTTGAATCATATGACACTCACAGCTCATGGAGCACACATAATAGCTGAAAACTGTAATGAACACCAGTAACTATTATCACATAACATATCAACATAGCATAAATTATAAACAAAGTATACCTGGCCGACATGCAACCAATAAAGTGCGGAAACCTGCACAAGACCTTTGCCTCCGTAGATGGTGACTCCTGGGAGCGCAACATACTGTTGAAATTCCCGGAAGTGTGTACGTAGCATGCTGATTTTTTTCATCACCTTAATGATTGAAAATGATTTTCGCACTGCTATGGTCATTTCTTGAGACAACCGCGACCATAATGAGTTGAAAACTCGCGGTTGATGAACATCTTGCGTCTCCCGACAAATATCGAAAAAGATCCGATAGCAAACCTTTTCCTCGGCTTTCGACCAGCCAGGAACACAGACGCGTTGGATGATGCCCTCGAAACTTGCATCGTGGTCCATGGCTGTTGGTGTGACTTTTTGTTGTTTTTTGCTCTCAGCTGCACATTAAAATCAAATAGAAAATAAGATTACCATCCGATAACTTGCAAATCTTGGTTAAGGCAAAAATTGGCAAGACTTATTTATCAAGTAACAAACCAAAAAAGAGACATAAGAAAAAAGCGAAAAGTTGTATAAGTTCTCTAAATCGGTTGACTAGGTGCGCATATGGAAGTGTTGAAAACATAAAAGAAAATACAAAATGAAAACTTCTCAACTTTGCAAGATAAAACCCACCACAACAATCCCCTTCACTACACCAAAAAAGGTTGACTTGGAGTGCATTTATAGACATCAATATGTGTGTATATCGGGTGTAGCGAGGAGGTAAATGTGTGGTATATGTACAATCACCTCTAATTAATTTGAGGAGTTAGCCCACATTTAGGTTGCTTTACTCAACCACCAAATAATACTCATTTATTTGGTACAATGTGTTTTGATTTTTTGATGAGAAACAAAGTCCACCTACGATTTCTAACCTATTTGCTCCACTTGGTGGCACAAAAAAGTACAAGAAAATTGAAGAAACATGTTTGATGAAGTACAATAGCAGTAGTGACATTTAAATGGCTCCTAAAGTTA